TCTGGCGTCACGACATAGCCAGTTGGCTCCATCCCTGGCTATCGGGTGTGAATCATTAGCCCCCGCGGAGAGGGCCCGCAACTTGGGCATCCTCCTGGACACTCGGCTGTCTTTAGACGATCATATGACAGCCGTGGCCAGGGGGGCTTTTCATCAGGCTCGCCTGATACGCCAGCTGCGCCCCTTTCTGGATCGTGACACTCTATGCATGGTCACTCAAGCCCTCGTTGTTTCCCGCCTGGACTATTGCAATGCTCTCTACATGGGGCTCCCCTTTAGGTGCACCTGGAGGCTCCAGCTAGTTCAGAATGTGGCCGCATGGGGGATTTTGGGGGCCTCTAGATACTCCCATGTAACACCTCTCCTGCGTGAGCTGCACTGGCTGCCTGTGGCCTTCCGGGTGCGCTTCAAGGTGTTAGTAACAACCTTTAAAGCGCTCCATGGCAATGGACCTAGGTATTTGCAAGACCGCCTCCTACCAAATACCTCCCTTCGACCCGTCCACTCCCACAGAGAGGGCCTCCTTAGGGTGCCGTCGACCAGTCAATGCTGGCTGGCGACCCCCAGGGGGAGAGCCTTCTCTGTGGCAGCTCCTGCCCTCTGGAATGACCTACCCCCCGACCTACGTACAACTGCGGACCTGCGCCTTTTTCGCCAAGCCCTGAAAACCCATCTATTTCATGCGGCCAGCCTGGCGTAGTCTTAATTAGGTTTTAGTATAGGTTTTTATATGGGGTATTTTAGAGCAGGCCTTTATTTATTTAATTTGATTTTAGAATAGATATTTATTGTGATTTTTATTATCGCCTGTTCACCGCCCTGAGTCCCGTAAGGGAGATAGGGCGGTATACAAATCTAAATAAACAAACAAACAAACAAACATGCTTGCTATCATCTGTTTTTTTTATGTCAATCAGATAGTTCAATAAAGAATTTAGACTAAATAACCTTTTATTTAGTGGTGTAAAATGTCGCACTCATCAAGATAAATCAGTTATCTATTAATTTCAGCCTCTACTGATCTATTCAATCTCATGGAAACAATTTTACACTACATGTAACACAGCCATGAAGTCCTGCTCAAGACTCAAGCCAAATTCAATTATTTAGTTCTGACTACACTGACTTTTCACTTTTTATATTGCAAATTGGGTGTCTTAACAATTTCATTATGTCTAATGAACTTTTTATTAGCCACTTAACCATTCACTCTTATTTATTAGTAATAATATTCAGCTTTGTATGTAGCCCCTTACTAGTGATAAAGTGCCTCTTCTAGATCTAGAAATGCAATCTTATGTAGCAAGAGTCTCTGTTGCTGAATTTGGCAGTAATTCTCTCTTCAAGAACAAATTGTTGTCATGGTTAGTTTTTAACAATGGGAATAACTTTAAATCTTATCTTTGTACTATAAAAGTACAATAATTTTACTATATATATGTGTGTGTGTGTGTGTGTATAGTATATAAGACAACTATATAGTATAGTATATAAGACAACTATATAGTATATAAGACAACTATATCTTATATCTTATCCTGTCCACCATGACTGCCACAATCAAGTTTAAACATGTTGTCAAGATTGAGCATCATTCTGTAGACCTTTATTCAACTCTTTCTTAAAGCTCAAACCTGACAATGAGATGGATAAAAAAATCTACTATAATCCAATTTTCATTTACCATCCCTGACTTTTGAAAATGAAAATTTGAGTTGGTGCTTTATGATTTTATAGATAAATTATAAGACAATGAGCAGTGATGGTTACTTGAAGAAGTTTAACATGAATCTTGCACTGCTCCTTTTAGAAAAGCTGGGTACTTACTAAATACCATCTAGGAGTAGAATCATTTTACTTAGGACATAGCTCAATTTAGCAGTGAGCAGTGAGCTAAATTTCCATTATAGTATCAGTTTATTCACATTACAGTTCTTTTTCTTTAATTTGCCAATGACATGTCTTCCCATTCATAAAGGCTAATCTAGGGCTTTCTCATACATACTTCCAGAAGAGGTGGGACAAGGACAAAAAGTAGTTTTAATTTTATTTAATTTTATTTAATTTAAATATAACTACATTTAAATTAGCTAATTTTAAGCTAATGTGATTTACTTCACATGAATTTAATAATTCACTATTCTGTCATATTAAACATTACAGTTTGATGGTAATAATTAGAGAAGCTCTGGAGGCTACATCAAATAATTTAGAAAAGTGTGAGTGACTTTGGGAGTCTCAATTTATTCAATTCTGATTCACCCCATAAAAAAATTGTCCTGTTTGAAATGATTGTAGTAGAATGGCTCCCCTCCCCCACAATTTTAGGAGATCTTATACATATTTCTGTTTCCTAGGGATGAAAGAACAGAGAAGACTCTGTTTTTAGAATTAAACCAAAATAACAAAGCAAGTATGATATATTACATTAATCTAAGGTAACAATTCAAAGCAAATCTGTGATGTTTTCAATCATCATAATTCTTCAGCCATGTTGCACTGCTTTTTTAAATAAAGCAGTCAATTTCTCTTGATTCTTTTTCCTGGAATCTTTTCAGGTACAGCAAATAGTTGCTTCTGTTACTTTTTTTCTCTAGGCATCTGGTCCAGAAGGCTCATTAAAGGATGCTGCCAAGAATGCCTTACAAAAAAGCTTCAAGGTTCTTAATGATGCCAATAAACAGGCAAATGATGTTAAAGGTATGTATTCACCAATAAAGGAAAACAGTTGTAGCTCAAGGTTGAAGTGAGGCATCCTTGGTGTTCTCTGAGCTTGGTTGTTTTCTTGCAGTCATTTCATTACCCAAACTAGGTAATATCATCAATGCTACCGGTAGTAAGGAATTGGTTGTTCTGTTTACGTTTTAGTGGCTTGCTCTATCAGAATTGGTGGGAGTGGTCTCGGAGGTGCTTTGGTTGAGCTGTTTACTGCTAGCTTGTTTGGCAATTCCTTAATTGGAGTATTGTTTACTTCTTGATTGTTGGACTTGGTGTTAATCCATGCTTATCTGGGTGTTGATTGCTGGTGGGGAGGTGTTTGGGTCTTTTTGTTCTCTTTTTGGCTTGTTGATTTTCCCTTTTGCACAGTAAGTAGATGATGTTGATGTCTATGTTTCTATTGTTGGCCAATTTGTCAGAATGCCAGGCTTCCAGGAATTCTCTAGCATTTTTGGATTTGGCTTGGTCTAGGATGGTCACAGTTTCCCACTTGAAACTGTGGTTAAGTCTGTCCATATGTTGTGAAATTAAAGAGTTTTCATCATGTCTTCTGACTGCTGGTTGCTGTTCATGGATGCGTTCTGCTGGTCTTCTGCCTGCCTGTCCTATATAGAGGCTGTTGCAATCTTTACACTGTTATGTTGTAGATGACTCCTGTTTTTTTTTCTTATGGGGCTGTTGGTATTTTGGCTTATGTAGGATGTTTAGGAAGGCCCCAGAAGAAAAAAGAGAGTTATCTACAACATACACTGTAAAGACTCCAAATAGACTTGGTATTTCTGGATTAGAAAAAGCATATGGTATACTATAAAAAGCTATCTAAATTTGATTAATAAATAGATAGAATACAGTTGTCATAGAATTTCCCATAGTTCAGAAAGGAAGTTCAGAATTAAAAGATTTTGAATAAAATATTTTTTTTCCTTATAATATTTTGTTATTTTGGAAGGAGAAATGTATCTCTTTCAACTTCAGATAGTTGTCTCGTTAAAATAATGAAAACCTAAGTTCTATTTAAATAATTCTCCAAAACTCAGGCCTGACTGGTGGCAACAACGGGAAAGTTTTGATATGACATCTGTTTGAATTGTAACCTATTATATAAGGTATTATGTGATAGTTAATCAGGAGACTGCCATATGTTAACACCAAAAAAGTGCTGAAAGAGTCCTTACAGAGCAAAATGTCCGATGGTAGCAGTTGAACTAGAGATTTACTAGTTGGTAATGGTAGAAATTTGAAGAGAGGAGGGAAGTAAATTCTACTGCTAACATTTTACCCTTGTATGTATTTCTCAATCTGATGGAAAGCTTCTGTCCCCAGTTTGCTCTGTGTCAGAATATATGCTAGGAATCAATTACAGAGCAAAAAAATGAAATCAAATATACTATTTTTAAGATATATGGTCTGTGGAGTTCTGTATTGAGAAATTTAGTTATAACACTTTTCTCTGTAAGGAAGATTAATTGCAAAATAGAGGCCCCAAAATGCTAGCCATCAAAATAGAAGTTATTATTTCATTTGGATTGGTAAGTCTTACAAGAGCTTTGTTTTTGAGAATTTTCTTAAGAATTGTCATATTAACCCTGAAACTTTTATCTGCTCATTAGACGATGGAATTGGAGATGCTGCCTGCTGTGTATGATAGTCTTAGAAAATCATGATTTTCATTATTTCTTCTAATTTGGAAACTCATTTTCAATATATTATAATGGAGCTAGGTTTATGTGAAATTAATAACAGTGCTTCCTTCAATTCTGTCTTCTTAGCATGCTATACTTTCTATTTAAATCAGGAATGAGCAACTATGGCAACTTTACAACCTGTGGACTTCATTTCCCAGAATTCCTGAGCCAGCCTTCTGAGGAATTCTGGCAGTTGAAGTCCACCAGTCATAAAGTTGCTATAGTTGCCTACCCCTGGTTTAAATGAACCTACAATGCTGCATATAATGTGGGAGTAAATTCCATCAAATTCAGAATGTGATACTTTTGAACTGATGATAATACTCCGGCAGTGACAGCATTTTGATATTGATTAGAAAGTGATTTGTTTAAATACCAAGAGTGCATAACTTCCAGCAAGCAGCCTGAGGACAGGAAATGGGCATTGTGCAATATTTTTTTTTAAAAAAAATTGTTTGGCTATCAGTAGATGGCACTATGGTACTGGAATTTAGGACGCAGAGGAGGTGGGGAACCAGATGGCAGCCAGCAAAGCAATGGAAAGGGTCAGACCCCTTTCTTGGTGCATGATGTCAGTGGTATAGATGAATAAAGATTTTTCAAACTGGGTCCCTTTCTGGCTTTTTTTTTTAATGAGTCTGTAGAATCTGAACAGTATCCCACTACATATATTCTTGGCCTCAAGCATGAAATTCTTGACTACACTGAGAAAAAGAATTCATCTTCTCAGCTCTTTGTAATGTATTATCAGGATGAATTTTAGTGATTCTGTCATCATTTATTTATCTAGCGTGCCTCTCTTTATTTCCTTTCAGAAAGTCTGTACCTTTATTTCTGCCCTGAAGGACAAACAGCATCTAGAAGCAGTTTTGACTTAGAAAATGACGCAAGAGAAATGTTAAATTCATATGTGTACATATGCATGCAGCCAACACAAACATATATGCACATTTATGTACCTATTTACCTGTGTGACTGGAAAGTCCTTAAGGATTCTTGTGGCTAGGTAGGAGGAGCAAAAGCACTGGAAAAGTTTTTTCCATGTGCTTGAAAGCAATATCTACAAAGGCTTTTCTCGTGACCTTTATATATTTGCTTTAGAGAAAAAGGACCCAGAGCATTTCAGACTATTTCAAAATGATCAACCATTTCTAGAGCAAGCAAGGAAGAGTGGAAATTCTACCTCCATGCAGATACAGATACCGCTTTTGAAAATCTGAGAAAGTTTCATCTTTCTTAATAAGATTTGTAGTATAATGTACTATGATTTTTGTTGCCAGCTAATATTAGGAACAGCAAAATGACATAGTCCCTGTTGTGTAAAAGTTAAAAAGCATATTTTTTTTTCAGTAAAGGGATACTCCTCTACCCTTCACATATGTCCATTCTCCCCTCAGATTTTCTCTCCATATTGGTATTATTCAAAGCAGTTCTTCACTTTGACAAAGATATGTACAAATTACAGTCTTAGAAAGTTTCACAAAAACTGTTAATTTCCAAGCAAGTCTTGCTTTCAGGTGTATTGTAAACCATCTGCCTTTATGCAAACTTCATTCACTCTTGTAAATGAGTTGGCTCATAACTCACTTTACTATATTGCTTTTACTATTCCCATTGTCTAATTAATAGCTTTTTACTGACTTCATCTCCTTCATGGAAAGAATGAAGCAACTGGGCCAAAGCCGAAAGGATGCTCAACTTTGGATGCATCTGGTGGTGAAAGGAAAGTCCGATGCTGTAAAGATCTTTTCTCTGTAGGAATCTGGAATGTAAGATCCATGAATCAAGGCAAGCTAGACGTGGTCAAACAAGAGATGACAAGACTGAACATCGACATCTTACGAATCAGCGAACTCAAATGGACAGGAATGGGTGAATTTAACTCAGATGACCATCAGATATACTACTGCAGGCAAGAATCCCTCAGAAGAAATGGAGTAGACTTCATAATCAATAAAAGAGTAGGAAAAGCAATACTGGGATACAATCCCCAAAATGACAGAATGATCTCAGTCCGAATCCAAGGCAAACCATTCAATATCACAGTAGTCCAAATATATGCCCCAACTACTGGTGCTCAAGAGGATGGAATTGACTGGTTCTATGAAGCCCTACAGCACCTTATAGAATTAACACCAAAAAATGATGTACTTATCATCATGGGGGATTGGAATGCTAAAGTAGGAAGCCAAAAGATAACCGGAATAACAGGCAAATTTGGCCTTGGAGTACAAAATGAAGCAGGGCACAGGCTGATAGAATTTTGTCAAGAGAATACAATGGTCATAACAAACACTCTTTTCCAACAACCCAAGAGACGGCTCTACACATGGACATCACCAGACGGTCAACACAGAAATCAGATTGACTATGTGCTCTGCAGCCAAAGATGGAGAAGCTCTATATAGTCAGTAAAAACAAGACCAGGAGCTGACTGGTTCACATCATGAGCTTCTTGTTGCAAAATTTAGGCTTAAATTGAAGTAAGTAGGGAAAAGCACTAGGCCACTCAGGTATGAATTAAATCATATTCCTGATGAATATACAGTAGAGGTGACAAATAGATTTAAGGAATTAGATCTGATAGACAGAGTGCCTGAAGAACTATGGACGGAGGTTCACAACATTGTACAAGAGGTAGCAACTAAAACCATCCCAAAGAAAAAGAAATGCAAGAAAGCAAAATGGCTGTCTGAGGAAGCTTTGCAAATAGCTGAGGAAAGAAGGGAAGCGAAAGGCAAAGGAGAAAGAGAAAGATACACCCAATTGAATGCAGAATTTCAGAGAATAGCTAGAAGAGATAAGAATACCTTCTTAAACGAACAGTGCAAAGAAATAGAAGAAAACAATAGAATAGGGAGGACCGGAGATCTCTTCAAGAAAATTGGAGATATGAAGGGAACGTTTCATGCAAAGATGGGCATGATAAAGGACCAAAATGGGAGGGACCTAACAGAGGCAGAAGAGATTAAGAAGAGGTGGCAAAACTACACAGAAGAACTATACAAGAAAGAGCTTAATGTCCCAGATAACCACAATGGGGTGGTCACTGACCTCGAGCCAGACATCCTAGAATGTGAAGTGAAATGGGCCTTAGGAAATCTGAGCAACAACAAAGCTAGTGGAGGTGACAGTATTCCAGCTGAACTATTCAAAATTTTAAAAGACGATGCAGTAAAAGTGCTACATTCAATTTGCCAGCAAATTTGGAAAACTCAACAGTGGCCACAGGATTGGAAAAGGTCAGTTTACATTCCAATTCCAAAGAAAGGCAATGCCAAAGAATGTTCAAACTAT